TACAATTTATATTCGGAATATATGTTTTATACATACCTACTTATAATATTATTATACAGCTGCTCTAGAAATGAAATATTTAAATGTGTAATAAAACATACAAAATCATGACCTTTGGGCGCATTCAGTACATACATATCTCTAATAGAATTCGAAAAAAATGAATAAACGTTAACGTCTTATTAATATTAATATATTTTATGTATTACCTTGATATATAATATATGTATTATAAAAAATGCAATCAATATTTACCGCATAATAGTCCGAGTTATAATATATRCCTGATAATTATAAAAACGATCCAGTCAATATATTTATAATATATGTTCAGTTTAGACGATTTGTGAAGAGCTGAATCACTTATTAGAGTATTATATTAGTTACGTTATGATACAGATTTTTGTATGTATATTGAACTTGTAACAATGTTACATATTGTAATAAAATCTGATAAATTATAAATACCGATCGTAGAGGCGATTTCAAATTACTTTTATGCTTACAAAAAATGTCATTTGTGATTTGTGACAGATGGTGCGTCACCCCAGCCCGGTGCTCGAAAAACAAGAGAAGCGATTCTTGGAATCAAAGCTAATTATATATGAAGCTCGTGGAGATAAGTTGATCATTTTAGCCGATAATAAAAAAATATGCTCTCAAAACTGAAGTCGGACTCGGAAGAMGCCATCCAACAAATAGTGTCGTGTAATGTTTTAAATAATTAATATAGGTACGTACATATAACGAAACGTTAAAATATCATGGTACTACGTGTATTAAATCATCATTATAAACCATAATGGTCCTAACGGTTGAGATTACCAAGGTATGTATTATTTACATTGTACGCCATCAGATATGAACTTACTGACGAGTGAGTAACCATGAAATCAGTCAGACTTTATTGTATATACAGGTTACTCGAAAATCAAACGTTTCCACCATTGCGTTCATCACACTGTACGTACTACGCATGTGAGTCTCAACATTTTTAATTCAACGAAACATTTGTTGCTTTTTTTATGGACCTAACATATCAGTCATAAATTCCTCAAGTAGACGCAGTACCATACAAAGTCAATACTGTTACTTAAAGTTTATTTATWATGCGTATACTAAACAGTGCGTAAAATGCTATTGCTATATAATAATAAAATAATGCATAGGTACCTACTGAAAAACTTTCTAGTTAAACTCGTAATACAAAATTCAAACGTGTTTAAAAAAAATCTAAAAAAAGTTTATTTTAGGTAGTGTCTAAAATAAAATATTAACTATATATATAATATACACAAATGGTAATTAATTTGCCTATAGTAAAGGAGGAGTTAAATATAATATTATAGCGAAAACTTGAAAATATCAAATTGATTTAATAAACATTTATTTTAACTTGCGTTTTCATCAAACAGATATTGAATACAAATTCTAATATTGTAAAACTCTAAAAATAACAGTGTTAAATTAAAGTAGTTGGTAAAAAATGTATAAAAATTTTATAAAAAATYATAAAAGATTCAAACATTGATTTTCCTATTTTTAGTTTAATGCGAAAATCTTATTTTGAATGATACTTACAAGTTTTATTAAAACCATGATTATATGAAGATATAATATATATAATATACTATAAGAATGAAATTGAAACAATTGTAATTTAAAAAAGCCGGTTTGTGGATGTTGTTTCACAGTAAGTTAAAAATGAGCCATTGTGATGGATAGTATTAAATTTGAATTCAATGATATAAATGTATACGAAAAAAGATTCTGAGCGAAAATGGTTTGTCAGTTTAGAATACTTAAACTAAATAATTTTTAAATTAATAAATTTTGTCAAAATATAAATTAAGTTTTTTTTGTGTTTTCTAACTGCTATTTCCTCAACTTATGGGTAACCTTATTGTATTGATATTCAAACTTTTTGATCTAACGAATACAATTTAATTGGCATTTATAGAATAAAAACTAAAAAAAAAAWTGAGAACGTCTATAAATAACTAAAAACGAGTTGAAATATTTTTAAAATATTATCTAGAATAGGAATTGATGAAGTTAACATATGATGTAAATCTACAAATGCTCGTTTTTGAATAATAACAAAATAAGAATATCGGTACTAGAGAAATTGAGGGAATATTCACGGTTCTAAAAATTTGAAATTCAAACGCTCATAAAATTTAAATTGACTTTCCGGTAGACATTTTTTTATTTGAAAAAAGTAGACAAACTTATAAAAAATATCTTGCATTGAATTTTTAAATCTTAGATTTAAATAAATAAATTTCTATGAATTTCTAACTATTCAAAATTTTAAACTTTGACCTTTACAATACACTAACTATATAAATTCACTTTCCCACCAGAAAATCTATTGAAGGTAGTACTATAAATTTAAAATCGCATTATTTCGACTACTTGCCTTTTACATAGACACAAAAAATAAATAAAAACACACATCGTTGTAAAATCAATATGTATACATTCATTGCTCCGCTCAGGATTTAAAAAATCAAACTTTTGTTTTTTCCTTTATTAAATCGAATATTAAAATAAAGCTTTTTCATTAAAATCTTCACTATTCCAACTAATTATAGTAGAAACTTTTGCTGGCCGCTCTTACATAAATAGAAATATTTGTTAATAACAATAAAACATAAATTAATCATATTTCTATCAATTTTATTGATACTTATAAGTTAACAAATATCGAGATGAAAATTGAAATCAGTTATAAGTGATATTAATATTTTATCCTACAATTTAATCCGTTTTCCATATAATTTTTATGGTAGATATTGAGATGTGTCAGCAGAACTCTAGAAGCATGATAATAATATGAACGTTGACCATTGAAATAATCGATATAAGTCATATCGATTATGATGATCGATTCATGATTAGTTTTTTTAGGATTTAAAAAATTCTAAATACATTAACATATGTTATAGTTTCAACTATTGTATGTATTTGTAAATGGTTCAACGCTGTTTTATAATAAAATAAACTTACATAGAATTTATCATCCGTTAGCTGGTACACAGTTCATAATATTTTATTACCTTAAGTTATCAGATGAAAGTCTGAGAGAGAATGTTGAATGTGGTGGTTTTGACGATGTAACCTTATTTTATATTTTTGATTTCAAAATAGAAAATTAAATAAATGGAGCATTATTCGTATTTGTTATACCTACACGAGTGCTAATAGTTGATGAATTAAATAAATTAAAAAATAAAAATAATATAATAAAAATGAGGCCATATCGGCATCACAATGRTGCATATTCAGCAATAAAATAAACTATATATTAAATATTTTTGAAAAATAATTCAAAACAATGGAATGACAATTATAAATAATGTATTGATGTAGATATCTAAATATATATATATATATCAATTTCATCAATGAAAATCTTATCTTTTCTCTTTAAATGATAATAATTATAATAGTAAAAAAAAAATGAGATTGTGAAACAAATGAAAGATTTATCAGTACATGAAAACTAGGTATGTGTAAGATATTAATATTTTATATAATTTTTTTAAACGAGAGATGAGATAAAAATTTGCAATTAATTATTGATAACTGTTACTACTTATAAAATCCACATGGTGCATATCACAACGGTCGTAGTCATTACAGAGATCTAGAATTGTGGTGGTAGTTACTACCAATCAAAAAATTACATAATACATATAAAACATAAGAGCAAACATTTATTTGATTTTTACTTGTTCTGTTATAATAAATAATATACTAAAATATCATTAAAATTAAAATTTTTAAGGAACTAATTTTTATATATATGTGTTTTAAATATTGTTGTATTCTCTAAAACGTTTCCATTCCCACAACCCTWCGAAAATTATCAAAATTTTTTAAATCCCGAATTTTTTCCCAAAGTGTCAATCATAAAATTTCTGGCTCAAAAACTTAACGGGCCTTTTTAGATGTACACATTAATCGGATATTTAAAACGGGATTCCACGGGTTCAAAAAACTGTTCACATACCATAATTACAGTAATTATACCGTATTTAGTGAAAAATAAATATTAAATGCTAAAAGAGTTTTATCAGCATAAATTAAAAAATGGAAATGAAAATAAAATTTAAAATTAAAATAGTTAACTATTAAAATAGTTAAGTGTACCTATGGTTTATGAGAATATCGTAAGCAAGGAAAATGTGGAAGCCCCTGATTAACACACAGTCATGCATATATTTTGTCTATGCAGGAACTCCGTATAACATATAATGTTTCTATCACGCGAAAGATAAAATATGTAATAATTGTCAAGAACATAAATGTTGAAAGTTAAACGTTAATGTGATAATTGTGTGATATCAGTTATCTAGTAGACTAGATTCTAACTGAAAATATTTATAAATGAACGCTAAAGTAAAAAGTGTAATAAGTGTTGCCGCATTGACGCCGTTCAACGATAACAAATTCTATCAGCAAAATATATTAGTTCAGTACCTTCACAACCACAACAAAAATGACATCATATAAACTATTGAAAAAGTAGAAAAATTTTAATACATAAAATATCCTCGAAAATTAATGTACATAGGTAGGTATACGATTGATTTTGTTTCCTAATTAACAAGATTATTTATTTTATTTCAATTTATTTTCCAATGCTATCTTTTAATTATTAGTTACATTTTTTTTTAAATTCAATGTTAAATTAATAGGTCAGTTTATTTAAAAATAAAACAAGGAAATACAATACTTTAATAGGTAATCATCAGGCTTCTAGAAAAAAATGTCCTGTTTTTGACTATCTATAAAAGTATGTGGCTATCCAATTTAGGCCTACTGAAACGTCTTAAACAAGTAAAACTCGTTTCGTATAATATTATACCATTGATTATACGCTATCTAAACATTGTGTACGCACTGTCACTGGCTGTAACGACTTACCGATATTAAACTAGAAGAATTCGTTAAAGTTTTTTTTTTTTTATATACATAACATAAAAGGATACAGTTAACCAGATCTGTAATTGAGTTAAAAGTTTGGTCTTGGGGTGCATTGTAAAATTTGGAGAAGTCTTTCCGTAGGTCATGAAATACGTTGTAGTATTCGGGCAGTTCGATATCTTTAATGGATGATTCCCGGTGCAAACACTGACGGATTGGAAGCTGTCCATCTGTTACTATTCGAAACATAGGTGTTTGAGGTTCGATATTCAGTGACTTAACGTAGGTGTCGAACTAGAAAAATAAAATAAACATATAGTTAGAAAAAAATAATCAAACAATTTGGGATTGGTGCGTGTATTAATATTTTGATAGAAAATAAGTATTATGCATATTTTAAAATTCTAAATTGTGACTATTATAATATTTATAAATAAATCCAATAATAATATAATATACAATATTTGTGAAGAAAATATTTTTATAACATACTTAATATTAATGATAACTTAATTTTGTATTTATTGTTACTAACTGCAGCTTGTACAGGCTTATTTGATAGAAAAAATATGTTAGGTAACATAATGACAATAGTCCAAGTACTGAACATTATATGTATATGACATTCACTCATGTGCTTGTAGTTAAATGTAATCCTATGTATTCATATGACTTCAATAGATTCAATATAAATTATAAATCTAATATTAAAGCACACGTTTTTAAAAAGATAAGACTGTAATAACTAGAGAAAGCGGTCAGTTTTTTATTGACGTTTATAGAAAAGAACTATATTATAAAAATATTGAAAATGTAAAATATCTATGGTAAATATCTCAAAAAGAGACAAAATATTTAGAAAATGTWATCAAAAGTAGAAAATACTATTATGAACATTTTATGAAACTGTTAAGTATCTGCGATTATTAATTTTTAGGTAACACCAAAAAACAAAATCAATTAGGTTGAATTTGGCCGGTTTTGTGTAAAAATTGTAGATTTCCTGATCTTTTTTTTTTGTTATCCTCGAGTATTTTTATCAAGTACTGGATATTTTTGCTTTTGACCCCCTCCCCTACACTATCAAAGTACCAATTAAATCAAACTTTCTACCCCAAAATTTAAAATCGAACAATTTTTAACGCCGCAGAAGGAGTCAGAAAAAAACATGCACTTTATTATAAAACCAATAGGTAGTTATCTATTTATGCACCGTCTTGGCGTCTTGGCCTTAATACGTTATCTGACAGAATAAGGCTTGAAGTTAATTTAACTTTTTTGGGACGTCTTATTGATAATTCTCCTTAACTATTAACACAAGTTACAAATTAACTTTAAAGTTTAACTTATTAATGCTTGCCACGTTTACTGGTTTTCACTACCTGCAATATGCAACACCAATATTATTTAAAACATCAAACATCACTTATTAGAATATTGACGACTATACCAAATAAAGGTCCATCAATTCTATAAGCTTAATTATTTTTACGTATTAACGTTCGTATTATATTTAGTATATATTCATTGTCTATTGCAATGTACATTTTTGTAAAACTCGTGTTGCAATAAAAAATTAAATATCACATTTTTGTCACTCCACACAAAATCTAAAATAGATAGTTGAATTTCATGTTATACCTATCAGCATTTTAATTAATACGATTAAATACAAACTATAAACAATAAAATAAAGTAATAATTAATACTTTATGTCACATATATCTTTGTAATACAATTCAGTATAAATTAAAACTATACTAAATTGTAGAATGTATTCAATTTTTTAAAATTATTTATCCTATTAAATAACGGATCATGTAATATACCATTATTATATTGTAATATTATTTAGTAACGCGTACATTGTCAATTTAAAAATAAAGTTACATACAAAATTCACAATAAATACTAATTAATGATGAAATCTTGACTTTAAAAACATATAGTATCATTTTAATATACGTAATATACAGTTAACATTAATAAATATTTTGCATTTAATTAAACAAATTCATATAAAATATGGATGAATTCTATTTTTTAAAACGGTCGAAACAAAGTCGCCAGATTTTTTATTTTACACAAGTAAAAATAATTTCACTCACCTATAAACGGTAAAAATGATAGTTGCCAACAGAATATTTAATTTTTTGGTCAAAATTATTACCTTCACTCAAAAAAACCAGCACCCCATTCAAAAACCCCCAACATACAATTCTAAGTATGACTATGCTAGAAACACAATTTTCGACTTGACATTATTAACTTGTTTTGATTTTATTCAAACATAATTTATTCCATTTTACTTTTATAAATGTGGTATAGCAATCGTAATAAACGTTTTTATTCAGAATTTTCAGATTAATGTACAAATATAATACATATATTTGAGATTTGAAATTTGAAATTTAAGAGTTTTTTGTTGTCCTGTATTGGTTGCATTTTTAAAACGGATAAAATATTTGCTTTTTCCCGTTGTCGTTAATACAAAATGTGACTCGGTGAAATGTCGTATAACATTAGTACGGTAATATTTATTCTCTTTATTATGTATAAAAATAATTCTGTCCACACAATAATCTCTTTGTCAAATCTTCGCACTTAGATTAACCCGAATAAAAAAGTAAATGCTCAATTATTATAGATGGCTATCATATATTGCACAAACAATAGATGAATGATTAATAAAATCCACCAAACTTCACGAAATCTAATAAAAAAAATGTGAGTATTTTTTTATGAGTTTTTCTGACAGTTTGAAGTTTATTATCATAAAAACACACAAACTATCGCACAATTTCTTAATAGCAAAAAAACATATTATGGATTTTAAATCTATATTAAAATAATGATATTTTTTAAATATTCCACGTCCTCTTACACTTTATTCAAAAGTTAAAACGTTAGATCAGTATTTTTAAGCTGTATTAATAATGTTTTTTTTATTGATTAATATATTTTTTGATATTTAATACCTGCAATAAGAATCAAATTTATTATTAACTATTATTTAGGTTGTAGGTATCTACATACTTTTTAAATCAATTATTTTCCACTCTGGGGATTTATTTTTCTAATAAGGGAAAATCATAGTCTCAAAATTCATAAAATATGCATCACATGCCCATTTTAAACAACCCAAAAATAAAATACATAAAAAGCTACACAAAATGCGATATTAAATAAAATACCTCGATGAAAAATTCAAGAAAATCAATTAATACGATAATTCGATATATATATATATATATATTGTCTAAATAAGGACGAGCTGGACAATGTTTATGTCACTTAGTCGTACATGTGGGAAACGTTTGAGAGCAAGCGTGATGACGCGGGATTTTCAAAAACTAAGAGTAGGTTTCATTTTACGGTTTCCAGATGATTTTGATCGGACGAATGAATATGCAACGTTGTCGATTGCGATCACTGATCTGCAGACAGCAGACGGTAAATCAAAACGTGGAAAAATTATCCAAGTGAAAAAATATATAGATAACTGGTCCACACAATAATACAGTATATATATTTATATATAATAATAATAGCAACGACAACAACAAGACAAGCTGAGTAGGAATCAATGGGCTCTGACGTTTTTGCGCAGTCTATCTCACAATCGTTAATACAACTATATAATACTCCTCTTTTCAATGGCACAGACCGGCCATTGAACCCCACTGCACAGCAGTATTATATATTATTATTAGTAATAGTAGCAGTGGTAGTATATTATATATTATACGTCTGTTATAAAAAAGGCTGGTGCAAGCGGAGAAAGAAAACCACCTCGCCCACCAATCCGCCATCTACGCGTAATACGCGTATATTAACTATTGTCGACTGTTGAAATATTATAACGACAGTAATGCGATTTATGAGTAATATTTTAGTTGGCTCCTTATTATTGTCTTCTTTAGTCCAAAAGAAAAATACTACGTGTGTGTGTGTGTGTGTGTGTGTGTTGTATTATCAATGCTAGCAACTCGCCGTATATAAAGAGAATGGTTCTTTATTAATATATCGGCAAAAATTGATTATTATGCACCTTGACCGGTTTTATATTGAGATTTGTTATCAATTTATAAAGAATTAAAGAATACACTTTTTTCTACTTAAGACTTATTTTTATTACTAAAAACTAAAATAAAATATACTTATCAAAATTAAAGCACATATATATGCACTGCATTATTATTGACCATAATAATATTTAACAATATACAACAATCATAAAATATACAAGTTTTAAATAATTATGAATGCAGCACATGTTAAATAACTTTTTCGATTTTCAAAGTTCTAAACGATGACGTACTACCGTCCATTTATGGGCCGGTTGCAGCCATTTGAACAGACATCCAAATACATGCGTACACGTACCTATAATATGTCCACCAAAATGCGGTCTTACGTGACCTGTCATCTCCTCATCGGTATAGAGCCGAAATCAAGGACTGAAAAGCGAAAGGTAAACCAATCCCGGACAATACACGATATCGAGCGTATATATATATATAGTGGCCACTATATTATATATTATACATATTACATACTTCATGATACTGTTTTGTTATTATTATAAAAAAAAACTATATTTCTAGATCGAGGACACGTTGCACTTGAATAAGTACTCAAAGTGATTCACTGCGGCACTGCATACAATTTGACACGTTTTAATGTAATTTGTTTTTTGCCTATAGGCTATACTCAAGCATTTAATAATTATAACTATTTTTATATTTTTAATAATGATCTAAATCATCAACAGGTTGTTTTTTTTTTAAATTACGAATATCAACAATCAGTCTAATGTTTGAATATTGTAATTTTAAATTGTACGGTTTTAATCACGAAAGTATATAGTTCGCAGTACACTTTTAAGTAACAGAAAACGCAAATTTAATGTATTATTTGAATATATACGTACCTATAATTATACGAGAATGACAAAATAGAATTTTTACAAAACTAAATCATAGGTACAAATTGCAATAATATATGAAAACTAAAATATACAGATACCTGAGATACCGCTMAGTTTTTACTCAATATTAAATAAATATATGTTTGACTGTCAAGGATAGCAAGGTTCAGGTTTCTATATCAATACACAATTAGGTATCATAATTTATTTACACATTTCACTTCATTTTCGTTAAAGGAGGGTCACAGAAGTATGCATTTCTTTTTGAAAATCGTATTTTCAATATCTAGTTATTAAAATCGTATATTTAAAGCTCATAATTTAAAGTGTATGCACCATTATGAAATTATGAGTTTATACAAAC